AAGCAAGTCAAAATCACTTTGTACAGGTTACTTCTTTGCTAAATAAGTTCAATTTCTTACTTAGTAAAATGTTCTCATACACAAAAGAATAGAAAGCAAAATTATTTTTATTTGGGAAAGAAACACGTAAGAAAAACATGCCAATCTAAAGCTCGGGTTCTAAAAGATATATTTTGCACACTTCCCTGTGTAACCAAGATGGAAGGRTCAGAATTAGTTTACTTCAAGACAAGTGGGTACAGAAACAACACAGGTGAGACAAAGGCTGTAATTTAGGGGTTACTGGACAATCATTCTCTTCTTCCATTAACAATGAAAGAATTGTACCTGACCTGAGACAACTGTGTTCCATTCTGGAAACTACCCAATCTCTCAACCACCTCACTAAAACAAATAAAATCCAAATGTTCTAAGCTAGGTGAAACAACCTCAGCAGTACTTATTCTAAAGCAAATACAATACTTAAACATCAAGCAAAAAAGTTAGACTGTATCCACATTTTATTCAATAAAAATGTAAACATTATAAGCTATTAGAACTGAGACAGAAGGAACCATTCTACAATCAATAATATATAATCTGTCTCCCTATCAAGGTAACAAACCTTGATCAAGATTAACAACTTGATCAAATTTTAATGATAAGAAAAGCAAAATCCAGGCCAGGGTTGTGGCTCAGTGGTAGAGTGCTTGCCTAGCATGCGTGAGGCAGTGGATTCAATCCTTAGCACCACATAAAAACAAATAAAATAAAGGTATTGTGTCCATCTACAACTKAAAAGAAAAGCAAAATCCAAGCATGAACTAGACAATGAAGTATTAAGCCAGGCTGGTGGTATACACCTATAATCCCCCAACTCAGGAGGTTGAGGCTGCAGGATCACAAATCCAAGGCCAGCTCAGCAATTTAGTAAGACTCTAAGCAACTTAACAAGATCCTATCTCAGAATTTAAAAAATTTTTTTTAAATGTAAAGGGCATGGCGTGAGGAGATGTACCTCAGTGGTAAAGAAACCTCCCTGGATTCTATTCCCAATAACCCCACAACAAAAACAAAGGCAATGAAGTGTTAAATATGTTACTGTAGTAACTGGAGGAAGACCAAAACAAAAGGCAGCTCCCAAGTGCTCTGTAGACTGGGGTACCACCCAGTGGAGAGTGATGATTCAATTCCCAGCACCCAAACAAACAAAAAAGAAGTGGTCTGACTGGACTTCACCTAAACTCCTGAACTGCAAAGCAGACTAACCCTAAGCAATCCCTCTTTGGGAGCTGGATTAGAACCAAGAGTGTTTCAACAGATCCCGGTTTCAGAGACTGACTAAAGAGCAGGAAACAGGATGAACACCTGGGTCAGCAACTGGCCCAATCTCATGGTCAGAGTGGGACTGACTTATTACCTGAATGTTCAATACATCCATTTCTTAAATTGTTTTCCGTTCCAGTTCCCCTAAATGGGAGAACTGCCATCCAGAGCTCCAGGATGTATCACCCATAAAAGTACATTAAGTAATCCAAACAATGTCATCTACCACTAAACCCCAATACTGTTCAACTCCCAGTGCCCCAAATTCCTTCCCTCTCTTTTGTACCAACTAACCCTTTCTCCTCCTTCCTGAACAGATCCACCTGAGGATTATCTTTTCAAGGGTCACCAGTATGG